GTAGTGGCAGTAGTCATAGTAGTAGTAGTAGTAGTAGTAGTAGTAGTTGTTGTTGTTGTTGTTGTTGTTGTTGTTGTATAATAAGTAGTAGTAGTAGTAGTAGTAGTAGTAGTAGTAGTACTAGTACTAGTACTCGTACTAGTACTAGTGGTGGTAGTAGTAGTAGTAGTAGTAGTAGCAGTAGTAGTAGTAGTAGTAGTAGTAATAGTAAAAATAAAACAAGAATATAGCAATACGACGAACAAAAACAGCAATAACATAGCAACACAGGTATAGGGTAAAGAAGAGCACTTGCAAAACATGCGCAAATACTCGCAACATGGTTACTTCCGATATCAGAAATCGTATGAGCCAGACAGCTTCAATTGAAATCAGGATCCCACCCTCCACCCTCCTCGAAAAAACACCGCAACGCTTGTGGGACGCTGGCTTTGGCGACTGACGGGCCGCGGCATGCAACATGCGAGGCCTGGCAAGGGTGTAAAGTGAAAGGTTGAGGGTGCAGCGTTTAGGGCGTACGAGGTTTAGGGTGCAGGTTGGGTGTAGGGTCAAGTCGGTTCTGGGTAATAACGGTCTAAGGTTGAGAGGGGAGGGAGGGTCTGTGGTGCTATGTTCAGGCTTGGTGGCTTTGGTCAATACGGTGTTCATCGCGGTCTCAATGTTTGGGCTTCAGAGCGTGTTCATGTGTGGGGTTGCCGGAGATGCCGCTTTCCGTCGAAGCAAGGCCGGAAGTAACTCGACCATCTAGCATTGTTTTGAACCACAAGACAGTAATCTGTTGTCTACTCTGTCGGGCCTGGGACCCCTTTCCTTCCCTAGCCCCTAAACCCTAAACCCTAAACCCCAGCGGGCTCAAGCCTAGCCAGTTTCAGCCACACTATGCACTCCTCCCTGAACCTTTAGACTTCAGAAGGCTCATGCCGGTAGCAGGCTTCAGAGCCCAATCCGGAACACTTGAGATAACAAGGTACCTATGGAATAGTATGATCAGTGTTCAAACCTAATACTCTAGGAAGCAGAATAGGACTTAGGAATAGCAGCACTAGACGTGCAACCCTATGATATAAACGCTAAAGTCCTAAACTTCCTAAACCCTACACCCCAAAACCCACGGGCCTCTCTGGGGCAGCCAGCCGATCGCCACGGCAATGGCCAGGCCAAGCTAAAGGTGTTCGGCGAACGTCTGTGTAATCTGGGGCGTTGACAGCTAGTATAAGTTTTGGGGGTATATGGTGCTAGAAGTAAACTAAGGACTGCTAGAAACTATTCCGAGCTCTGTAGTAGAGAATAGACTAGTAAACACCCGGTTTAGGGGTGGAAACGTTGAAGGCTGCTGTCGATTTGGGGGTTTCCGACCCTAATATAGTACCCTAAATAGTAGGATCCTTATTATAAGGACCCCCAAAATAAGGTACCCCCTATTTTCGGAAACTCCCATTTAGTGGCATAGAGTTGGGGGTGTGAGCATGGAGGGCTTTGGGGCTCTGCGGTTCAGGGCTATAAATTGGGCTTCGGGGATGAGTTTAGGGTTTAGGGTTTGGGTTTAGGGTGTTTAGGGTTTAGGGTTTAGGGTTTGGGGTTTGGGGTTTGGGGTTTAGGGTGTTTTGTGGGTTTCAAGGTTGAGCTGACCTTAAATCCTGAACCCTTTCCCACTGACGGTACCTCCAGCCCGATGCGACAAAGGACCTTCACGAGTTGCAAGTCCCAGAGGGTTCATGTATACTTCCACGATGGAATTAAGTTCCGCAAGACCAGCCTTAACATGGTTACACCCTAAACCAAAGCCCTAAATCCTGAACCCTAAATCGGTTTGGGGGGACCCAATTCCATCATAGTCGTATATATGGGCCCTCGTGGAATCTCTTCACGGTTCTCATGTGAAAACCTGTCTGGTTTCAAAAAGGCACTAGAAGTCTTGCCCTAAACTGCAGCGATGGCCTTTTACCGTACCGTTAGAGTTCCTTTACGGCCGGATGGAGTCTAGAATTTACTTGTTCATCCAGGTTCGACATTACGCCTTTACCCTCGCTCCGAGACCCTAACCACTTCAATACTTGCTACACCGTACCTACAGTCTCCAAACCCTAAAATAGTCTCCATCGTAGCTCCTGCTTGTGGTTTAACCAATTACCCTAAGGGTCCAAGTGCCAAATTATCATATACTTTCAAAAAAAAACCCTACAAAACTATTACCCAAAAACCCAAGTAGCTAGAAATTGGGACCTTTGGACTCTTAAGGTTATAGTTATATATATATATATAGATCTCTCTCTCTATATATATATATGTAGAGAAAGAATCTTAAGAAGGTAAACTTAGAACCCGTTGAACTCCCGGGCTGGGCCCTTAAACCCTACATATTAAAGGCTATAAAGCAATCGCAACACCATCGAGACCCAAAGCCCTTACGGTTTAGGGTTTGAGCACTCACCGGTTTAGGGTTTTAGGCCTTGAAGCTCATCAGCGCTCCATGGTAGCATCACGGACCCCAACGCCTGAATTCTGCCACGCCTGGTGCGCTTCTACGTGCTGTGCATGCGCACTTTTCGCACGTGTGAGTGTGTGTGTGTGTGTGTGTGTGTTTGCGCATTGAGTTGGCAGCTGCATACTGAAAATATGCGTGGACAAACACACGATCTATCCAATGGGCGGCTCTGCTTACACTATGCACCCAAGGGTTACACTGTGGCATGGCAGAGGACAGCAGCACTCGTAGCTGATCGTAACCGTGGGCTGTTCCCTCGATATATCCCAAACCCTGAACCCTAAACCCAAGCCATGCGTCAGGCCCTTCGCTTTTCAATGCGGAGCATCAAATAAATTCGCGTGCTGTACAGGTATCGTGTCTGTCGATTTAGGGATACGGTAACAACCTGAGGCGTTGAGTTTAAGCTAGAGGGCTTGGAGGGTTTACGAAAAGTATGACAAGAGTACAATACCATAAAAGTAAATGTAACAGGTTACTATAGCAATGAACTTCTTAGTATGAACCATAAAGCAACATGCATATGAATGCAACAATGTAACAGAATGTAAAAGGATAACAGAACACCCAAGTAATGATGCCTAAGCACAGTTAGAAAGCTGTTAAAAGCATAGAATGATAGAGTAACAAGATGCTTGAATACTAGATCAACAACAATTACATAGACACAACTAGACGAGTGCAGCAATATACATTTAACAAGTAGAGAAATACCAAGACCAGATATGTAATAGTGTAATAATGGCAGAATGAAAAAATTGTGAGGTACAAGCATGGCATGTGATGATAACAGGATATGGTAAGAGACCAGCACGAGAACACAACATGGTAACATAATACACGAATACAGCCGTAAGAAAAGTATGAGACATATAAAGATAAAGTGTGAGAACACAACAATCTCAGTAATGAGGGAAAACTAGAACAAAATCACATAATAGTTGCTTTTATCAGGACGGACTTATCACGATGTAAAGCCGTTGATGGTAACTAATAACGACCAATCGCAACAATGATGACATTAACAACTGTAAGCATCGGCGTCCTAGTAAAGAGCAGACCAATACTAACAACACTAATGTACGAACGGGCTGTGCAGTTGACTATTTCGGGTTTAGAGCATCCTTCATCGACACGAGTGACAGTCGACTTCAAATTCATCCGAAGCACACTTGCAGCTCCCTTTCCTGGCCGAATGTCCTGTTGCCACAGCCCTCTGCCTGAAGCTGAGTCGGCATTAAAGCCGACATGATCTAGTTGAGTCGAGAGGCTAACCAATCTACCTGAACGGCCTAGGCTCCTGTAACAACAACGGTTTGAGCGGCAATGTACGCTGAAAGATAACTCCCCAACACCATAATCTCCTGACAAGCTTGTCGACGCAGGGGATGAGGCTTGAGTTTAGGATGTAAGTAGAAATCCAACAACCTGCTGCTCTATGGGTTATAC